TACACACAAGTTATGTCTGGAAGTTACAAAAATGCTTATTTTTGGCCCCCAATTCCTTAACTGTTGGTACCATAACCCCTAAAATCAATCCCCACTTTCCTTTTGTGGTATTGAACCTTATTTTAAAATTTCATTGAGATCCATTCACTTAAACTAAAGTTAGAGTGCGAAAACTAATGTGTCTTCGGACGACGACGACGCCAACGTCATACCAATATACGACCACAAAAATGTTTTTGCGGTCGTATAAAAAGGAGTTCTTAATTAAGAAATAAACTGATTCGCTGAGCGCAGCTGGATACACCCGCAGAGGTACTACCCTGAACAGCTGGGGCAAAAATGGACACAATATTCAAGCTTGATACAGGTCTGAATTTGGATTGTAATTTAATATTTGACATATTATAGTTTCTGAATAAATGTAGTCGATGAACTTGAAATCGGTTATATGAATTGAATTTATATTCAATTAAAGATTTCTTGCTGTTGTGCAATACACTGTGCTGTTGTGCAATACTTAATAAATCTGTTGCCAGACTATAAACAAATAAAGTTCAATTTCTTCTCAATGTCATATTTAAAATTTATGAAAATCAATAGGGAGATTACATCAATAGCTATAAATAATTCACCAAAGTTTCATGTGAACTGCTTAAAGCATTTTTGAGTTGTTGTCCAAAAACTGGAAAATCCCCCCTTTTTTAATGGATATAAACCCCATAACTCAGAAATGTAAAATCTAAAATTTATAAAATTCTAAAGGGAGCTTACGGATTGATAATTTAGTCTTAGATGCAAGATTTTTTTATCAGTTGTTAGTGGCTTTGAACTAGCTGTCAGTAACTGCGAGTATTCTCAGATTTGTACTTAGTGTCTTTTTGTTGTTTGGATGTACAACTACCCGACCACGTCCACTTGTATTTGTATTTATCCATCTGATGAGTTTAGCCTCTTTCAACTGATTTTTATAGTTCTTTCTTATATTGTACTGTTACACCACTGTCCCAGGTTAGGGGGAGGGTTGGGATCCCGCTAACATGTTTAAGCCCGCCACATTCTGTATGTACATGTATGTGCCTGTCCCAAGTCAGGAGCCTATAAAAGTGTAATTCAGTGGTTGTCGTTTGTTTATGTGTTGCATATTTGTTATATTTGTTCATTTTTTTACATAAAATAGGCCGTTAGTTTTCTTGTTTGAATTGTTTTACATTGTCATTTCTGGGCCTTTTATAGCTGACTGTGCCGTATGGGCTTTGCTCATTGTTGAAGGCCGTACTGTGACCTATAGCTGTTAATTTCTGTGTCATTTGGTCTCTTGTGCATGTGTGGAGAGTTGTCTCATTGGCAATCATACCACATCTTCTTTTTTATATTTACATCAACAGATATAAAAAATTCACCAAAGTCAAGGTGAGACAACAAAACTTAGTTGTAAGATCTCTGAAATTTTTTACAGGGTACGAGTTTTTCTCATTGTTGGAGATTGTACGGTGACAGTAACACCTGTAACTGCTTAAACCCATTTCTTATCCACTTTAGTTTGATAAACTCACTGAATATCATACCACATCTCCTTATTTTTATATGCATTACAATTTACATGTGCATGTAATTGTAAATATATATATATCAGAACAAAATTCATTGCGTCACTTTTATTTATGCATCCTTTGGCACAATACAAGTTCTAAAATTACACAACATAAAACAACTAAATGTTATTTCAGATGAAAGTTTTGTTTCAGTTCCATTCATAGGATTTATTAGAATTTTGTATGTTTTGCCAAGTCCAATAATTCGCTCTATGTGACATAGAGACATAGTTGACTAAACCACCAGGTGTCGAACATTCAAGAATTTTCAGTGTTTCTGTTTTTATTTGATGAAAAGGTTGCCTGAGCTCTAGGAGCTTTAGGTTTTATCACGGGATATTCTGTGCTGTCAATAATAATCCAAGTCGTAGGAAACTTTAATTTGAAGTTGGATGGTGAATAATACCTGACTAAACCACTAGATGGCCAAGTGTTAGCCTCACACCACTGTTTAGACATAAAAACAATCCATGTATACACAATATTCTTAACACTAGATTCAATCTAGAATCTAGACAGTTCAAAGTTGGTTGTATGATGCCTCAATTTCATCAAAGTCATAAAAAAACTGATTTTCAACTGACACCCTATCAATTTGAAAATATATGTATCTCAAACAATGTGCTGCTGGACCAAGTGTGGTCAAAACAAATAAAAATTTAGTATACAACTCTAAACCGGTATAAAAATGCATGGCTGTGTCACGTGTCTTCATTTCAAAATTCTCTGCTGAAAACATAGGCATTGATGGTGTTTGCGTAATTCTATCTGTGAAGCTCAACATTAGCTTGGCAGTTGGTGGTGGACAGTCATAAATCCTTTCTGCAGTATGAATGACTTCTTCAGGAAAACCAACTTTACAATCAAAACTTTCCTCTAGATTTCTACTACAATATTCATCAAGTTCAGTTCTTTTGTTTTCACAGGAAACTGCCCTGATTTTTCTTTTTGCGGACGATTCAGTCTCTTGCTTAGTCCAGGAAAATAGGCTGGGAATTGCAGTAGACTTACGTCTCTGTATGGTGGGTTTGCGCCCTGAAAAAGGTTATAAAACATTATTTTTTTTATAATTAAATGAACTTCCATTAGCAATGTATACTTTGTACTACCTGGCGAAATATTAACTAGATTTATTCATTACAATCTGGATGAAACTATGTTTGCCTGATTCAATGTATGTTATGTAAATCCAAAGGACAAACAATGAGAGACTTATGCAACAAACGTACATTGTTTGTACCTAAATAACTATAATATAGATGAGAGCATGTCATTGTTTTGTTCCTGTTAACATTGTCATTGATATTTTTCAAGAAAGTCTATGAGGCATAGCTTATGCATTCCTGTCATTACTACATTAGCATAATTACTGCTTAAATAATTCTCAGTATGATATACCTCTTGTAAGGAATCATTATAATTGTAGCAATCACCAAAAAATCTCAAACAGATCACATTGAATCGTAATCCAAAAAATTATGACGTCTTGAATTACCCACCCCCTTTTATTCTAAAACGACAATTGCGGTTGTAAACAGACTTTGGTTTATTCGCATGGCGATTACATATATAACTATATATTTCACAAAGAAAATAGAGTTTTACCATGAATAGTTTCCTGCACATAGTCTTTTTCAGTAAAACGTGCCTTGCAAACAACAGCTGATTGAGATGGACTCCACGATATCATCGTGTTCTCGTCCAATCTGCGTATGGGCCATGGCGTTGATCCAACTTTTCCTTCTTTTTAAGTCATTTGGAAATGCATGTCCTCCTCTTAAATGACATCCAGGTACACAACAACAAGTACTTGGCATCGTTAATTAAAAATATAACTGAAATAGTTGCACAGTGCAGAAACCGGAAGTAGAGGAACAGGATCCGCTAACCACGGCGCCACCTATTCAGGAACGATAATTTGCTACTTTATATAACTGCAAAAATAACGTTAGACGGGTTCACGTGCATAAACAGAAATGCGCTTTAAATTGTATAATATAATTCATGTTCAGTCGACCTTTAATTATTATATCAACGACTGAAATGATTTATAAACATCTAGATTGCAGATAACACTCGAAATTAACCCGAGCTCTTTCCACACGGAATTCAAATAATTCTAGTTTGTCAATCGGTTGACTGCTTATAATGCAAAATACTAATATATCAAAAGTTTTAAAAAACTAACAAAACACAATGATCGTTTCTCTATTTCCCAATGTAAATGAAATGAAACAAAAAACATTTTATATCGCAATAAGAAGAGGAGAGAATTCAACATTTCCGGATCTACTTGGAGTCTAATGACCCCCCACGTTGATAAGTTGGATATCGCGGAAGGAAGGATTAACCCGGCAACTAGAAAGGCATTAAAGCACTGCCTTTAAAAAACACCAAAAATTCAAGACTTTGAATTAAACCCCATTAAAATTGGTCAAGAAATAAGCAATTTATACAAAGTATTACAAAAGTATTGTTTTTGGCCCCTTTTTCTAAACCGCAAGGGTCATAACCCCTAAAATCAATCCCAACCTTCCTTTTATGGTATATTACCTTGTGGCACAATTAAATAGCAATCCATAGACTTATACGGAAGTTATTGTCTGGAAACTAGAAAATCCTAGTTTTTTTGGCCCCTAACTCCTTAACGGTTTTGGCCATGACCCCCAAAATCAATCCCAACTTTCCTGTTGAAGTATGGAACCTTGTGGTGAAATTTCATAGAGATCCATACACTGATACACAAGTTATTGTCCTGAAACAAGAAAAATGCTTGTTTTCGGCCCCTTTTTGGCCCCTATTCACTCAACAGCTATGACAATAACCCCAAAAAACAATCCCAATCTTCCTATTGTGGTATGGAAGCTTGTGCTAAAATTTCATAGTGATCCATACACTTATACTCAAGTTATTGTCTGCGAACCAGAAAAATGCTTGTTTTTGGCCCATTATCACAAAACAGCTATGACATTACCCCTAAATCAATCCAAACCTTCCTATTATGGTATGGAACCTTGTGCTTAAATTTCATAGAGATCCATACACTTATACTCAAGTTATTGTCTGCGAACTAAAATGATTTTGGACGACGACAAGGCTGATGCCAACATGATAGCAAATTTGTTTGCGGTCGTATAAAAATTTGCAGTTGTATGAAAGAGCTAGGCATATAAAAACCAGGTATATTGAAAGTTTTTTTTTTAAATTTACTATAGTTCAAATCATGCTTTTGTTTGCTATACAAGGTGAAATCTTTATTTTCAGAACACCACTGAATTGTTACCATGCCAAGTTACGAACTTTGTACGATTGTTTTCATATCTGTGCCATATTTTGGATCAAATAAGGCATAACAAGGGAGATAATTCATTAGACAAACAGTACCTAGACAATTCTTCCTTGGCCTACCTTGCCACTGTAGAATGAAAACTCTAAAGTCTCTTAAAGCAGGTATTCTTCCTAAAATAAAAAAAAATTTCTCATTAGTTAAATATATAGGCACAACTGATGCATAAAATTAACCAAAACCTACCATTCATTTAAAAATCCATGAAATAAAATAACTTGTTTCTCAGTGTCCTCTCAGGAATAGGCAATTTTTTTTATTAAAATTGTAATGAATTTACCCTTTATCGACATATATTTTCAACTGAATAAGCATTCAATCATATACCCAATTGTAAATCCCATAATAATCACAGAATGAAAATTATAATCACACTTTCGCAAAAACCAAACACAAAAAAATTGTTTCAAACTTGAAAACAAATATGTAGTACTAAAGATGCATTTTATTGCTGAAACTCCACTTAATTTTCAATTAAAACTGTTTTTGTAAAAAAATCAAATGAGTCCAGCATGGTATCATACTTTTCAATAAGATCATACAATAACTTTAACAATAGTTGATTGTCACACTATGAAGTAAAGTAGAAAGTATGTTAAGGCCAGGTTTCCACCTTGGATTCAAAAATCAAAAAGTATTTTATATCTATCAAATAGTAGCCTTCAGATTTTCCTAAGACTTTAGTCTGGTCAAATATCAGTATTTATATTTTTGAATCATATCTACCTATTTGCATTAAAGGTCAAAACTTCTTGCTTTTGATGCAAAACTCTTAAACTGCCGATATAGCCTTATTTTGAGATCTTGTCATTAATATTTAGATATAAGGCAAGGCTTTCAAGGGTTAGCAAAAATATATTTTATAAAAGAAATCTACACAAAGATGATTAGTGTAGGTAAAAGATCTTTATTGGTAAGGCCATGGTTCATATCTAACTTTATGAAAAACAATGTATAAAATGGTGATTTTTAGTATATCATCCTATTCATTAGTTAGGTAAATATAATTTAAAAGGACACATGAATTTTACTGTTTTTTGCATTTCAGGGGCCAGATAATGGCTTTCATCATACCTCCTCCTTTACAGTTTAGACTTGATTGATACCTTCCCATAATTAGGACAACAATTGTCCTACTCAATGTCAATAAAAACGACTGAACCAAACAGAAAAATTTATGATTTTTTTTTATTCCTGAAAACTATTCCTGAGAAGCAAATCAGTTAGTTGAATTTACAAGAAAGAACAAAGAGTATGACACAACTATGATTTTAGAGAAAACCAAAGATTGACCTGAAAATAAATATCAAAATGTTACCATGTCTGGCAAAGTATTCATCATAAGCCAACTGCAAATCTTCAGGCGAATAATTCTCCTCTAAAAAGTTTTTGTGGTTATTTTTCTCTACTGGTGGTAATGATGACCAATCTGCAAATTAAGAAAATTTTTAAATTAACATTTAAAACAACCTATCTCCTTCCAAGTCATTCAAGGGGAGATAATTTCAATATTATGCTCTATATTGTTGTTGCATTGTATTCAAAAATACAGTTAACTCTCGTTGTCTCGAACTCGGTTGACTCGAAATTTCGGATGAGTCGAAGTTTTCACATGGTCCCGAACTTTGTTTCATATAAATGTATGTATTTCGACTCCTGATGAGTCGAAATTTCGGTTGAGTCGAACTAAATCTACCGTCTCAAGGTTAACAAAAGCATTCAAAATTCATTATTTATCTCGAACTAATACACATATGTCAAAATGACCTCTGGGATTTAAATGGTTTGAAGAGTTAATCTGACAATACACGTGTAATTAAATTTCCGGTCACTGACCACTGTATTGATTTATGACATGCTATTTCCACGAGTGTTTACCTAAGATTATCTTTTATAAAAATTTATAAATAATTAGTGATACATTATTAATGTTCATGAAAAAGTATTTAAAATGTTTACAAAAACAATTAATCGTGATTTACACTGATGAGCTTAAATGTGTATAAAGTGGGGATTAGGACTTCCGTTGGTGATCACCTAAAAACTACTCAATCTGCGCCTTTAATCTTGTTGTATTTTCTTTTGAAAGGAAAGAGTGAGATGAAAGAAAATGAAGAGAAATCTAAATTTTCTAAAATCTCTTGTAACCGAGAATAAACAATATTGTCAACTTTAAATGACCTAAATAACACTTAGATCGACTGGAAATTACTCTCTCAAAAGCCATAGGAAAAGAATTTAACTGAAACAATTGAATAAGTAAAAATAATATTATTATAATAATGAAAGACCATGACATACAAATACATCAATCTGATACCAGAATATCGATCCCCTTCCCATATTCATCCGGATTTATTATAGCTTTACCAAGCTAAGCAAGAGTTGTGTCCCTTGGTCTGTCAAACTTCCAGTTTTCGGTTGAGTCAAACTACGTGTATCTCGAAATATTTCTCTGGTCCGCCTGACTTCGAGATAACAAGAGTCGACTGTACATCGGAAATTTGCCAAAGACATTTGACTCTTTAAGGATGTTCGCTACTCTTGTTTTTTAATTTTTGCCAGTTATTCGGAATCCTCTGGTTTTATCTATGTAGTGCCATGAAAAAATTTCCCCCACTAACCCCTACTTTTCTTTTCATAATTTTATTACATATAGTCTAAAAAGCCATATTTGAAAATCCTATAAAATCCTTGTTATTTTTTTATAATTTTTGAAAGAAAAGGGTGCCAATGTTAAATGTATGAAAAGTCTAGAGAGAATTATTTCCCGCCAAATTTTCAATGGCCAATATCTCGAAAACAAGCACATTGACCCTTCATTTTTTTCTGCTTTTTTAGTTCATTAATTTATAAACTAACAATTTATAACAGTCTTTTAAAAACCTTGTTATTTTGAAACAGAGTAGCGAACATCCTTAAATCTTTTAATGCCCAGTATCTACTTCACTAACCTATAAATATGTATAATAAATAATAAAGGATACTTAATGTTGCTGATTTCCAGAAATAATTTCAACATTAAAATGCAGTAAAAGCCAATATTATTATTCAAAGTATACATTTTCAGCTGTCAGAATGAGGGCATGGAAACAGTTATATTGTCATGTTTTGATAGAATTGAAATAGAAATGACTAGAAAATTCAAAATTTTAATCAGATTGAATTTGAAACTTTAAGATTGACATTTTCAACACACTTTTGTCAGACATAGCAATTTATTTGCCATTGGACACTAAATTCTTGCTTTTTTTCAGAAATAAAACTGTCGCTGATATTGTATTATAATTCCCCCCCCCCCCCCACTCTATGTTAGTTTTAATGTCACAGACAGATATAAGGGTAATGATGGCTGCTCACTTCAACCTGTGTTTTCCCCTTAAAAAAATACTTTCAGAAAATTAACTTCATTTTTAGAATTTTTTTAAGCTGAGGCTATTAACAATTTGAAATTAGATTTAAAATTACTTTAAAATATTATTACGGTATATAGAAAAAAATATTTTCTTGCAAATAGAATATGTGCTTTTTATTTACTATGCAATACACATATGCAAAGGTGTACATGATTAGATGCTTTTCAATTCAAACAAGAAAACTAACGGCCTAATTTATGTACAAATAAATGTGGATAGTGTCCAGCGAGAAAATCCAGCACCCGGAGGTGGTCCACAGCTGGCCCCTAAATAAAATTGTGTGCTAGTTCAGTGAAAATGGACGTCACATTAAACTCCAAAACATATAAATGAACTAAAATTAAAAAACATACTAGAGTCTACTTTGAGGTGAATGCCGACATTTTTGTGCTTTGTAAAGAATATTACCATAAAATATTGGATGTGAAATACCTGAATGTATAAGATGTCTGCATGTTGATTTATATTTACGAATGATGTTCTTGTACCGATGATAAAATTTAGTAAATGTTTTGACTAGTTTGTGATATCGAAAACCCTGGTGTAATAACTTTTCAGTAATACAGAGATTTCTTTCGTTGAAATCAAATATGTTGTAACATACACGAGCGAATCGAACAAGTTGAGATATATAAACACCATAAGATGGTGACAAGGGAACGTCACATCTAAAAATGGATAATTAACAGTAGGAAATGAAAAATCATCACTTTTATCATAAATTTTGGTATTAAGCTTCCTGTTAAAGATAAAGATATCAAGATCCAGGAAAGGGCAGTGTTCATTGTTAGTATTAGCTTTATTTGAAGTCAGTTCGGCAGGATAAATCTCTTTAGTGTACATACTGAAGTCGTTATTATTGAGAGCCAATATATCATCTAAATATCTAAAGTGTATTTAAATTTTTGAATCAGATGTTGTTTCGATGGTTCTTTGCTGATTTTAGTCATAAATTGTAACTCATAACAATACAGAAACAGGTCCGCAATAAGTGGTGCACAATTAGTCCCCATGGGAATTCTGATAACCTGACGATATACGGAATCTCCATAGCGAACAAAAATGTTATCTAGTAAAAATTCAAGGGCAGTTATAGTATCAAAGCAGGTCCAATTGACATAGTTCTTTTGTTTGTTGTTACTAAAAAAATGACCTAAAAGAGTTTGAACATATATATTCACATTCCGACTTTTTAAATGCCCATTTAATCAGGTTTGTGAATTTTTTCTTAATAAGATTATGAGGCAACGTGGTATATAGGGTAGAAAAATCATTGCTTTGAACAGATTCGAAATCACCAATATAAGCATGCAATTTATCAAGTACTTCCTACGAATTTTTGACAAAATAAATCTATATTTGTATGGAGTTTTATGCAGCTTCGGAAGCCAGTACATAGTTGTAAATGCATTTCACACGAGAACCATTTTCAATAAGTTTCTTTTACCTTTACAAGACAAGAGTGCACACGCTGAAATGTCTCGCCTTCTTTACTAATCATTGATATTATGTTGATAGTCCTAAATATAAAGCTTTATTACAACTGTCACATAAACTTAACATTAACCAAGTAAACTAAACATTGACCAATGAACCATGAAAATGAGGTCAAGGTCAGATGAACCATGCTAGGCAGGCATGTACAGCTAACAATTCTTCCAACAAATATAGTTGACCTATTGCTTATAGTTTAAGAAAAACAGACTAAAACACAAAAACTTAACACTGAGCAATGAACCTTGAAAATGAGGTCAAGGTCAAATAAAACCTGCGTGACTGACAAAAAGATCATAAAATATTTCCATACACCAAATATAGTTGAACTATTGCATATAGTATTAGAAAAAAAGACCAAAACTCAAAAACTTAACTTTGACCACTGAACCATGAAAATGAGGTCAAGGTCAGATGACACCTGCCCGCTAGACATGTTACGATGTACACCTTACAATCATTCCATACACCAAATATAGTAGACCTATTGCATACAGTATAAGAAAAACAGACCAAAACACAAAAACTTAACTATAACCACTGAACCATGAAAATGAGGTCAAGGTCAGATGACACCTGCCAGTTGGACATGTACACCTTACAGTCCTTCCATACACTGAATATACTAGACCTATTGCTTATAGTATCTGCGATATGGACTTGACCACCAAAACTTAACCTTGTTCACTGATCCATGAAATGAGGTTGAGGTCAAGTGAAAACTGTCTGACGGGCATGAGGACCTTGCAAGGTACGCACATACCAAATATAGTTATCCTATTACTTATAATAAGAGAGAATTTAACATTACAAAAAATCTTAACTTTTTTTTCAAGTAGTCACTGAACCATGAAAATGAGGTCAAGGACATTGGACATGTGACTGACGGAAACTTCGTAACATGAGGCAGCCATATACAAAGTATGAAGCATCCAGACCTTCCACCTTCCAAAATATAAAGCTTTTAAGAAGTGAGCTAACGCCGCCGCCGGATCACTATCCCTATGTCGAGCTTTCTGCGACAAAATTCCAAGCTCGACAAAAACCACAATATTTCAGTTTCACATATATTTATTAAATACAGCTTCAGAATTTTAATGAATATAATTAAGAACAAAAACCCTTGTATTATGGTATTTATATAAGTTTAATTTTAAAGTACAAAAAAACATTTCCTGCTGATCATTTTTCTATATAAACTTTCTTGTTATCATTAATAGTTTTCAAGATAATAAGCAAACACAAAAAATTGGACAAAATCATCATTTAGGTGCAATAACTCCACTTAAGAATCGACCAAAAAATTAAGGCCCTGTCAGCTTATTTCAAGATCATGTCTTGCTGATCATTTTTGCAATTTAAAGATTCTCTTTATCTAGCTATTAAAGTAGTCGAGATTATACACAATTTTTTTTCTAAAACAGTAAAAATCTTAATTTAAGGGCCATTATTCTTATGGAAAGTAATCTTGACAAGTTTGGTGTAAATCGACAGTACACAGTTCTCAACATTTTGAACATTTCTGCACTGTCAGATTTTATTTATTATACCAGTTTTCAAGAAAAAAGGCATTTTACCCCTATGCTCTTTTTTTTTTAGCCATATCAGAAATATCACCCATGTTGGTCTGAAGTCTGGATCACTGGAAACATTTTTTAAACTAGATACCCCCATGATGATAATGGCCAACTAATTTCAGAAGAGAAGATTTTTGTAACAGTAAACAGAGGAAAAGGGTTGACAGACGCCAAGTGATGAGAATAGCTCACTTTACCCTTCAGGTAAAAAAAAAAGCAACGACAATGAAGAACGTAAATGTATTAAATGATGAGGGTTAAGGCGTTCAGTGTTGTTGTGAGTTTCATGTCTTATTTCAAACAACTTAAATACTTCATATTGTGTACAAAAAATTCAAATACCAGATAATTTTTCAAATAGTGATCCATCATCAGTTGCTATTGTGGCAAGAAGACATCCATCATCACTGATGCTTTGTGAACTCTGATGTAAAGTCTTTTCTATAACTTCTTGCAAATGAGCAATCAGACGGAAATCTTTAGGACATTTACCTATAAAAAGAAATTTTATTTTAACATATATAACAATTTCACATTGTAAAGCATGTAACATGTAGTAAAGTTGTGAATTTATACTGAATACTGAGGAAAACATCATATGGATATACAATGTAGCTTTAAAAAAATGAACATTTGGTTGATTTTGATCTTAAATCTGAAATCTCTTTAAATTCTGGTAATAATTCTTTTTTTTATTGGTTAATCACATTATATATTATAAATTATTTTCTTTGGCAAAACAAATTACATTAAATCAGGCCTCGACAATAACGCTTGTCCGATTGTCCGGTACAAGAGGAAAAAAAGGTCGGACAAGTAAAAGCTAGATCAAGCTTGTCCGACGGGACAAGTAAAATTATTCTGCAGAAAATAAATTTAATCCAACTTTGATGAACAAAGTAATTATAAACAAAAAACAAGAAAAGAAGATAAAAACAAGTATTAATTTGACATGTTTACTTGCAAACCGATAATTTTAAACTGGATCTTTGTCAGGTACTTTTTAATAGGTAAAAGGCATACTATTTTCGGAAACCAGTTTTACTGATCCGAATCAGCGATGCGCTTTGTAGAAAAGGTAACTTTACAAGACAGTTCTTCACCAGCTCGGAAACGATTCGGCTCCTAAGTTTAATAGACAGTTTGGCACCGTAGGAGACATATTTAATTGACATGATTAATAGACAGTTTGGAAACGCAGGAGACATTTCGGGACCAAGACAAATCAGTACCTCGTTTTCCTACCTTATTCTGTTGCTTTATAATAAATACCATACCGGTAATTTTTTTAACAAAAATATTTTTTAAATAAAAAAGAAGAAATTATTTACCATAAAATTCACAAAATCATATTTGATCATATGTAGAAAGAAACAATACTTGCAATACGGTGACCTATAGTTGTTAATTTCTGTGTCATTTGGTCTCTTGCAGAGAGTTGTCTCATTGGCAATCATACATCATCTTCTTTTTTTATTGATTGCATTTGAATAATCTTTTTTCAACTTAAACAACCAGGATACAAATCCAATGAGTGTACATTGACAGGCCTATCAGACGGTGCCTCATGTGCAGAGTCTGATGAGACTTTTGCATTGATGAAAACTAGAACCTAAGCCCTGTGACATGACTAGATTCAGTTGTTCTCGACTCATATTTTTGAAAAGTGTTTCAAAAGATATAAATCAAATTCTGTTCTGTTGTTTTAATTCATTTTGTTCCTTGGATCAACTTATTAGGCAAAAAAGGTTATTATTAAGATTTGTTTTGGACAAGTTCCAATTTCATTCGGACAAGTAAGTTTTGGATTGTACTTGTCCTACTGGACAAGTTGAAAAAAAAGTTATTGTAGAGGCCTGTAAATGTAAGTCATATTGGTAATTTCTAAATTCATCCGATCTGTTTTTTAAGATAAAGAGGGACAACCATATTTTTTATTTTTCATTTGAACACTGCAATTACTTTTAACAAAATATCCAACTACCCAATCAAAAATAAAACCAAATTTGATATGAAATATAAATTAGCTAGTACAGAAAAATTTTCAGTATTTCATTTGAATAATTTTCAAAACATCTACATTTTTTACACCACTGTTTAAGTTGTCTTTGGACATAATTTCACACAAACATGCATATGCATACATTTATATTTTCGATGCAGTAATTAGGGCTTTTAAAATGAATAATATGATGATACTTGACTTCAACTGCTTCACCAATAATGGCTTGACAAGGGAGATAATTTACAAATATTAACATGCATCTAATATGGGATGAAAGCAGTTCAACAGACAAAATTTACAAATTATTAATTTTGTTTAATCAACAATTGGAACAGCCTTACAAAACTTGTAATAAATAAATTAGTAATTATTAATGCAAAGCAAACATACCAGTAAATGACTTTATCAACTCAATTGTCTTTACTGCTTTCTCTTTTGTCCTGTTACTTGTTTCTTGTTCAATTTCTGTCAATATTAATAAATGAATTGAATAAGAAAATTTCTGACAATAAGATTATTTTTAAGCACATTTTTTTTTTTTTATTATTCATCTTTTTCATAATGAATATATTGTTTTTATTGGTACTAAAACTTATTTCATTTTTGAAAAATGAAAATATAACTGAATATACATACATGTATGTACAGTTATGAGTACTCATGATCCTATATCCTGTCACTGTTTACTTGTATTTTGCCATATTAAAAGTTAATTTGTTTCTCAGACTGTGTATGATGTCTTTACACTAAATCTGTTGAATGTGTACTGATTGAAACTTTGGTCTGGGAGGAGATGATTCATTTATCAGTTTAAAATGGCTTTGGACTAGCTTTCAGTAACTGTGAGTACTCTTGTAATGGTGCTATATGTCTACTGTTTTTGTGCTTCGTAATTATATATATAATGATCTATTCAGTTAAGCCATTTGCAACTAATTTTAAGTTTGTTCTTATGTTGTGCTGTTACACCTCTGCCACAGGTTAGGGAAAGGGATTTGCTCTCACAAACATATTTTACCCTCCACATTCTTTATGTGTGTGTCCCAAGTCAGGTTGGTTTATATAGATCTGTGGTATTTGACAAATTGTTTTTCATAAATTGAAAGATATATATATATCAGACTATGTTGTATGGGTTTTGCTTATACATGTAGGCTGTACAGTGGCCTATAATTGCTTATATCCTAATTATCAGGTGGAAAGTTGTTTCATACATGTACCACATCTCCTTATTCTATATATACAAAATGTATGTATATAAATCTTGAACTGAATGTTGTACCCATATTGGAACACAAAATACAGAGTATCTGTATATTTCCAATTTTAGCTAAAGCATTTTTCACCTAAGTGATGTAAGGTTCATGTACATGTATAATCAAATTATATGTTTCCTCATGGTTTATTTTAAGTAAATGATCTATTTTTACATTTTAATAAAATAAGATGAGCAGTCTTTCCTTGCAATTTTAATAAAACTGATTACTTTAAAAAGGTATGATTTCATGTTATGACACTTCTAAAATTAATAATTCTCAACTGGAAATTTATATCCAAAGCTGATCTGTGTGTACATTTTGTGTACATGTAATGTTTAAATTGAACATCATTGTACATGGACATATAATTCAATTATACTGTACATCCTTAAGGTAAAAATACAATGTACTTTATTGTTTGGGGACCAGCAGAAGCCCACCCCAGGTGCGGAATTTTCTCACAGCATTGAACACCCATAGGTTGCCATGGGCTGTTTTTTTCTCTTTGGTCGGGTTGTTGTCTCATTAATACATTCCCCGTTTCCATAATCTCTATTCAATTTAACATTGAAAAAATACAGGTATTCTACAGTATTCTATATTCATTGGTATTTCTACCAACCATTTATATTTGTTGGTCTGTTTCCAGTTTAAATTCAAGCACATTACCTCATCCCATCCAAAAATATTATAAGACTTTCAGAATAAATTTTCAAGAAAAGTTTGGGAAAAGAACAATAACTCTACAATTGTGTACGAGGCCATACAAAAATGATTGTTGGTTTCCCCTAACCCTGCCGGGTCAGACTTTACCCTCTGTGTCAATTCTTTTTTTTCTTTCTTTTTTTTGAGATGAAAAAAAAAGAGTGTTGCTCTGGTTTCTTTTGACCATTTTCAATGATGTTTTTTAAAATTGTCTGATAATCTATTAAAAGTGTGTCAACATTGCTCAATTATCATTCCTTTAGTTTATATAGTTTATACCACAAGATAGAATATAAAAAAGGAATTTACTCTCGGGTTAACAACAGCTTTCTCTGTATAGTGAAACTGTATTTTCTCAAAAAAATAAAATAAAATAAAGTTTTTCCTGCCTGCCAGGCCTTGATAATTTTCACATGTTAGGGGAAACCAACATTAATTTTTCCATGGCCTGAGGGTCTGATAGGTCCTTAATATAAGTATTCTTTAAATTATTAGAGCATTTTTCTTTGTCTTAAAAATTAACTTTTATTCTGAAAAATTCTCATGAAATTGATTTTACTACTAATTTTTTGTAATAGTATGATTTCCCTATCTTTCATTTCTGTAATCAGTATTTCATGACCTGATTCTATTATTTTGCACAGTTATTCTTTAAATTTTGCACTCCATTATTGTCTATTCTTATATATTTTGCTCATTTTTCTCCATTATTTTTTTTTGCCATTATTCTCTATTTTTTTAACAGTATCCAGGCCCTCATTTATTGACAAAATAAGAATCCCAAAATTGTTTATCAGTTTATTCATATCTGGTTTATAATATTTACATTTTTTCATTTAAACTTGAAGATGCATAATAATTTTTGAGTTTATTCAGGAACATATATATTGACGGGACTTGACACTACCTGATTGTAGTCGATTTTATCGTCGTGCCATAGTTAATAAAGATACGATACAGAAACGGACATGTGTTAAAAACGGACTCGCTATTATCCTAATAATTTCTGATATTATCAATATAATGTCATTCAAACTAGTTTTATAGCAATGCTAGTGTATCAAACTTGTATTCTGTCACTTCAAATTTGTTAAAATCGCAAGCATTTCATCACAGAATTGTGCAGAATGCAAACCAGGTAATAAAAAAATGGCGGCCATTGCCGCGATGATTTACAAATTCCCAAACTATTATAAAACACTTCACATCAAATAAATCAAACTTATTTTGGTAATTTTATATGACAAAATATATCTACTAAATGATAAAACTTGTATTTATTTACAATTAGAGTTATGTGGTTTATTTGTTGAGCAGTTCTGATAGTTTTTCAGTCAGACGCTACCAAAATCCGTAAATCTTGGGAAGTCTCGGGGAGTCCGAGATTTTATCAATTTTATACTGAAAAGCGTATCAGATTCATTTCCCGTTAGATATACTGTTCCCAGGTTTATTTTATACAAACTGAATTCTTTATTTGTTTACCATGTTTACTGGTTTAAAATTTTATGTGTTATCTGTTTGATAATGGGTCATACTGACATGACAATAAAGTTTGTGTTTGAGGGAAAATGCCTCAATGAAAAAAATAACTTCAATTAAATATAAACACAGAAACATTATAGCAGTGTTTAATTATACTGCACAAAGTCAAAAAAACTGGTGGATTATATACACCATTTTTTAAATAGCAAACTATTGTATCTATAGGTTATTCATCTTGTTTTAATAAGTTTAGCTAAATGAACTGCTCAAATTAAGTGTGTGTTTAATTTTAGGTTTATGCATGGGAACACAGTGTGACAGTATTTTCGGCTTTTACGGCATTGTACGGCTAGTGAGTTGGTGCATTTAAATCCTTTGCATTCATAAAATGCAATAAATTTTTATGACATTTAATGCAAGCAAGTCACATGAACCCCATGCTTATTCTTAATCACATAGAATCCCATAATAAGTTGTATATAATGATAAATAGGGATACACTATGTTTCTAAAAAAAAGAATAACAAACCAGACGCCATTTTGTTAGGGAAATTTTGTGATAGATGTAAGTACCAACAAAAAATTTAGCATCATCAACAACGGTCAGATATAACCAAGGACCATAAATGGTTTTAAGGACGAATTCTGTACAAAGCTCAATATTAAAGCAAGGGATTGGTCATTTTCTTTTATTGAGGGCCTGGGAGGAAACATTGGAATTTCTCTTATTTTTTACAAGTCGAAAGAAAAAAATTCAATACACCCCCTTTCGAAGACATCAAAATTTCAACCCCTCCTCATTTCTCAATACTTTTGTTCGTAAACACAAAAAAAAGAATGCATACAATTTCTATTTATATTATCATTATCAATATCATTTTTATTATTCAAAAATATTTTACCAGTAGTGGATCCAAGGCGAGGCGAAAAAAAATTATTTCTTTCGTGCAGAAAAAAACTACATGTTTTTATTGCAGGGGGAAGCGTCAGTAGGGTGTGGGCCCCTGATTACGCACCTCCAGATCATAAAGGAAAATTATTTATGTAAAGACATGTTAAAAAATTAATGCCACGCTTGACTCCCAGATATTATCTAAAACCATTGATACATAATACATCGAATAAATGCAAATGAAATAGTTATATAAAACAGCACAACGTTAACAGCTAACAAAAAACATATATGAAGCACTAAGAATGACTATACAAATGATAATAACATAAATTTGCAACTAAAATATTGACAGTAACGAAACAAAATTAAAATATCTATAACATTTTTTTTATTACTAAAAAGTAAAATTTAACTGTCCGCCATTATGAAGCACCTAAGACTAAGAATAATTGTATGTAATGGTAGAACCCAGCTAAACTCTTGGGCTGTTTTCTGCTCTCTGGTCGGGTGGTTGTTTCTTTGACACATTCCCCATTTCCATTCTCAGTTGTATCTTAATATTTTCAGTGTTGAATTAGACCACACACGTTCTCAATGAACTTTTTCATAATTATCATTGTAAAAATCAAAATAAAAACATGTACTTGAAGGTCACACATCCTTCTTTTTATGCAGTTATATAGGTAGAGGGCTAATTTACGCACCTGTTTAACTATCAAGCTACATCTAAAAAAATCATTTACATGCATTGATAAATTTTCCAAATTTAGTGACTTTAGAAGCTTAAGTCGTTAAAAATCTGTAATAAGAAGTATACTTGTTTTGACGGTCGGGAATTGCCACTTTAGCCAAAAACAAATTTCTAGCTTTTAGGACAGGCATGCGAATTTCTTTCAGCAACAACAACATTGGCAGCTGTATTCCACCAACATTTCAAATGTTCCATTTCGAATGAAATATACGTGTGGCCATTGCATTAGATCGACAGATGTGTTTGTTACATAAGCCTATTTGGTTGTACTTTTTGATATCTTAGATAGAACTAGTTTTTATTTAGTAAAACGTCTATTTAACTTTTCCAATAAGAGATTCAAAACGAATGTAGATTTATGAAATAAAAATATTACAAGAAATTTTAGAAACAAATCTGTTTGGTAAAATTTATGACCATACATTGCTTATAGTCTATTTTTTCCTGGGACCTAATAGATGCAGAAATAAGAGGATGTGGTATAATTGCAAATGAGACAACTTTCAACCGGAGACCAAATGCCGTAGAAGTAAGCAACTGCTTGTAATTGTTCACCGTACAGCCTTCAACAATGAGCAAAACCTTTACCGCATATAGTAAGCTATAAAAATCACGACATGAAAAATGTTAAACAATTCAAACGAGGAAACAAGCTGCCTAATTCATGTACAAAACAATAAACGAATAACAAATATGATATACACCAACAAACGACAACTGAATTACAGGCCCCTGACTTTGGAAAGGTACATATGGAATGTGGCGGGGTAAAACATGTCTGCCGGCGCCGAACCCTTCCTAACCCTGAACAACGATCTTCCCAATTTGTCTATATAATGTTCCAAATTTTTCAGAGGAGTTGCCTGTGTTTAGTGGAGGAATGTGTGGTTTGAGGTGCTGTCCATGCAATATTTTGGTTATGCATATTTTCCTTTTGATGTATTATTTATAACCATATATAGAATATAAAAAGAAGACTGATTTTAATTCAACACTTGGCTGCCATAATATGATTTATCTTGAGGCAAGTTTACAAACAATTTTCTTCCATCATAAACAACTGGATCCAATGACTTTATATCAGTTTTCACCCCCCATTGTTTAATTATAAAAACCACTTTTGTTTGGCTAGTTAATCATTCGAGCTTAAACAATGTATTTGTCACTTACTGTTAATATGATCGTTCGTCTAAATGAAATTAATACTATGGCATACATATACACGTACATGTGACTTGGTGAGTAAATAGCTATCATACGAAATATTTTATTCATCTTATTTTTTTCTATTTAGCTCGATGCATCCATTAAGTTTGATCTTCCAATTTTCATAAATAGACTTTTAAGTTAAGACAAAGATCTTTGAAAAATATAGAAATGCACGTATTTATACCTTTAACATAGTGATTTATTTTGTATTAATATTTCATTTGCTAATTTACACAATCACAATTAAATTCTAACAGAGAAAAGATAGCTCAATAGTCCATCAAAATATTTGTAAGAGACTCATTGGTTCAACAGCCCATTAGACGACAATTCATTAAATCTATAATTCACAAGTCCGACAGCCCGTTTCATTTCAAGTCCGACAAACCACTAGTTCGATAAACAATTTGTCTGTTTTATCTAAGAAGTTATTTTAAAATGATATGATCAAAATTGTGTGTAACTAAATAGAGTACGTCATTACATTCGTAAGACATCCAACAGCCCATTCGACGGACAACTCTTTAGTTCAACACTAGACCCATTTGTCCGTCAAACCATCTGCTTGTTTGTTTTGACTATGAAGTGAAACACATGATTAAAATCGTGTGTACATTAATAGTATATACGACATTTCATTACTACGACATCCCATTAGACGGATAATGCCTTATCCAACAGCCCAGCCCATTTGCCCGACTAACCACTGGTTCGATAGCAAATTCGTACGACAAACTATATATTTTTTTGTTTTAGATATGAAGCTTTTTTTCCAATTTTTTTCAGACCGCTCTTATCAATTTTCCTCTAACCGGAAAGCCTATTGACGTCTGATGTCATCATTTTCCACCCGTTTTGTTAAATGATTTTAAAACTCATATCCTGATACAACTCAGCATTCAAATTGAACATCTAAGCGATGCAATTTTTTATTGGTCAATATTAAAACCAATAGAATTAAACTTAACTCCAAGTTCAAATAAGACTCTAACATGACGCAGTATTAAAATAGCGCCTTTTATCTGTCCTGATATTTATATATGTACTTTTTTGTACCTTTTGTTACTCCACCTACCGAGATTAAACAGGGCATGGTTCATTTCTCAAAATCAAGACTAATACTGCCATACATGCATGTAATATATAATATGGGCATGTGGTATGAATGTCAATTGGACAGCCTTCCAACTGAGTCCAAATGACGTGGATTTAAGCAACTATATGTCACTGTACGTGTACGCCGTCAGCAATGAATAAAACCCATACCTTATAGTCAACTATAAAAGGTGCCGACATGACTATATGTGAAATAGTTAAAACGGAAAAACGAAGAATGTGTCTGTACCAAGTTAGGAACCGCCTTAGTTGTTGTCCGTCATATCTTACGTGCTTTTTCTTCTTCAGTTTTGGGGAATTTTGTGTTGATGGCAGATCTTTGATAGTCTCTGTGAAATTCATTTCCTACTTATCTAGACCCAGGGCGATTTAGAGCTTGACATAGTGTATAGACACCTGTCTACTGTTGAAGGTCATATGTTGACCTCTAGATGTCGCTTTTGTTGTTGTGTTGTTGGGTTGCTATCTCGTTGATACTTACCCCACATCTCTGTATTCAAACTAAGTATTAACTTCAATCGGTGTCCGCAATCTGTAAAACAAGTTAAATCATAACCGAATGTGTCCATGTACACGGAAGCCAAATTCAGCAATACAGTTAATTTTCAAATGAGGAGAAAATGACAAATACGAACTAGACCCTTTGTTAAGATTGATTTATCACTGGTTAACACCCGGTGGCAAATATTAGATGGATATATAGAACGACAAAATGTCAATGTGATACGAATATGCTCTACGTTGTACTAGAGTGAGATATTAAGTCTCATTTTCAACATACTCAGTCTCAAGGTAACACCCCACAGGAAACAGTTTCACTCTACCTGGACACATTATTCTGTCACCGCACCAACCAGCCTTTGCTTTTAAATACAGATTCCAAGTGTTCGGCGGATTAGCGCCAATTATTAGTACCAAAAATTTGTTTGGCCTGATCTGGGACCAACTACAAAAGAAAAGTCGATGCCGTTGTTTAGAATGATATAGTGCACTAATTAGAATACATATATAAAGTTATGGGGTATTGGACTGCTAGTCCGACGAAAAAATAGACCATTTCAATTGATATTTTATAGTGTGTCTTTTTATGTTGTAATGTTACACTACTGTTTCAGGTTAGGGTGAAGATTGGCGCCTGTTAAAACGTTTAAACCCGCTGCATTTGTATGCGCCTGTCCTAAGTCAGGAGCCTGTTGTTCAGTGGTTGTCGTTTGTTGATGTGGTTCATAAGTGTTTCTCGTTTCTCGTTTTTTATATAGATTAGACCGTTGGTATTCCTGTTTGAATTGTTTTACACTAGTCATTTTGGGGCCCTTTATAGCTTGCTGTTCGGTGTGAGCCAAGGCTCCGTGTTGAAGGCCGTACTTTGACCTATAATTGTTTACTTTTTACACATTGTGAATTAGATGGAGAGTTGTCTCATTGGAACTCATACCACATCTTCTTATTTATATTAGACTTTTGGGAGTGATTTTCGGTCGTATTAACGATAGAAGCTTAATTAAAAACCAATATGTTCAGAGAACAATTGAAGTCTTTCCACAGCAATTTTAAAATTTATTAAAAAGAAGCTAGTTCGTGTTTACTCAAAGTTAAAATTGGCATCTTATCATGAGTTTCTTCATACTGATGCGATAAATAAGGGGTTTCTATATACTTCTGAGTGAAATAAGGGAGATAATTAGCTACTTCCGGTGAAGTAAATGTCATTTCCAGTCTCATATAATAGTTTCTTTCACACTGATTCCAAAAATATATAGTTTCTATATACTTTTGCTTGTAAACCAGGAGATAATTGGCCACTTCCGGTTTATCGAAAGTCATTTCTAGTCTCACAACAAATGGAAGTTTTTAACGACCTTGACTGGCTATACAGCCCTTGCACGGTCGGTTTTCTAGTCTTCAGTGATAAGTTAATGTATTAACATTACAAAATATATGGATTCCGAGTACTTTTCCATGAAGAAAGTGCAAAAATGGCAACTTCCGGTTTTCTCAAGGTCACTTCCGGTTGTCATTTTTCAAGGTCATATGTCATCCAACCTTTTGTAAAAGGTCATATGGCTTTTTAATGAACTAAGTTGAAGTAATAATCAATTAACCTTATAATTGGACATTTCAGGGGCACTAACTCCTATTAGATGCCATTAGATTGTTTCAGACCAAATGTAACATATCTTCATTACAATAAAGCAAACATTTTGCACTTGTTGTTTCATATATATCTTTAAAAGTGTTTGAGAAAATGCAAAAACAAGGAAAGTCAAAATTGAGAACTTGACCTTGACCTTTGAACTTGACCTCATTTTCTAAGTTAGGACCTAGGGACCTCAAATAAAAAGATTTCAGGGTTATACGGTTAACGGTTTATGAGTTAAAAAAAACATACCGACAAATTTATTTGGTAAAGGTAGATAACTCCTTCAAAATTTCATCGAATCGCTTCGATCCAAATTAGCCAAAAATTCCTGAGGATGTAACGAACAATTTAGAAAAAGATTTTTGTCGATATCTTTTTTTTGTTACGAAGGAGATGCACACACTTGATAAGCAGTGAATAGGGAGATAACTCTTACAAGGAAAATTGTTCGGCTTAGAATGGGTGAAAATAAAAAGCACATAAACTGTATGATACTATATAAGAAATATCTTAGCGACATATTGCGAAACAAAAATTTTACGCGATAACAAAATTTGGCGGAAGAAAAAAAAAATAATAATCAGAACAAATACAATAGGTCTTTCCACAGAAAAGTGGAAAGACCTAATTATGCATAAAACCTGTAACTGCATGTTGTCGTTAGAAAATCATCTTTTAAGGAACCCCATTCTTATTTTCATGCTCTAATACAAACTGATTTTTTTAATTCAATTTAGGATAAACTAAAGATTCTTTGGAAATAATGGAGTATGCCAATTACAAACGGATGCAGAAATTATTTCAATTATGTGGAAAGCCAGCCTTACTCAAAATATTAGACGCTTATCTTAAAGAAAATATGTTATCCTTTTCGGCTTTACTGGATCGTCATAAACATCGTGTACTTCACCTTTACAGACTACCGAGTGCTTGCTGTCCAAACGCCATCAACTGCAAGAGTCCAGAGAAGCTTCCGCTAGTCAGAAATCAATGGCTAATCTTGTACGACGATACAAAAAATCCCCACTGTAACAAAGTCACGTGCGTGTGTAATGTGATAACGAACCATGTACGTGCATCTCATTTAGACTTTTACATACTTTCGTTATTGATGGTGACTTTCGTTGCCGGAAATTCAGATGTTATGCCCAGTATACGAGGTCTTCATCGAGAATGTAGACTCTGTGAATTTATGAGACCTAAAAAGATAAGCAATGAAGCATTTGAAACTAAATGGAAAAATGCTTCTGCATATCTTTTAAAACTTGGTGTCTCTAAAATACAGATTGAAGAAGTGAGAAAAATGCCAGTAGAAGATATACCGGAATATGAGCAACCTGAAACATGTCAAGTGGTATTATTTTTTATTTTCTTTATGAACTTTAATATTAGCATTTCTGATCAAAACGATTCAGCAATTATCACTTCCACAAATGAAAATGTATTATATTTTATAGTAAATCCTAGTCATTTTCAGTTGTAAAACGCTTATATATATACAACCTTCAATACATCGTCACCAGAAACAATTTCGCACCAGAATTCATTTGGGTTAGAAAATAAAGGGGTAGGAACATTTGTTGCCCGATTTTGTTTAAAAAATGAATTTTTAGAACTATTTCAAATTTCAAATTTTAAATTTGAACAAAATAAATGGAAATTCATAGAATTCATTACACAAAATTACAGATGTTATGCACAAGATTACAAATACGTCACCATAAGCGACTTTTCAATAAAAACGAAAGAAAAATATTGAATTTATGAAGTTTTTCATTCATATTTCCTTTGTGGAATATGTGCGCAGTCAAGAAACAACATAGGGAAGCTTTATTAACGCTAGTTACATAACCTCACCATCGGAAATATAAAACTGTTTCTTGGGTGTGCACATACTTTTCCAATCCAAGTTTGTAAAATTTATTGATTTTCCTTGTTTTACATCAACCTTTATGTATATTTTGGATTCAAATTATATGTGTATGCAGAGCTTATATTAATGCCTATCATAGTGTAAAGGCAAAACTTTTGTTTATATTACAGAAATGGAGACACCGCTTTCTCAAATGTAGAATAGTAGCCTATATACTGGCTGTATCCTTTATGGCTTATGCATATGTACATCAAAGCTTTCTGTTCTACTCAGACAAAACTAATATCCGTAAAACTTATTCGCTGAAACAGAAACTCATATAAAAGACATAAGACCTGGTTTATTACATAAGGCTTACAATTGCAATTAGTTTAACTATGCCGAAGAATCAGAAAAGAAATACAAATAGTTATCAAGGTCAAGTTTTCTGACCTTCAGCAGACGATTTAATGATCATATATAGTGATTACTTTGTTTAGATGGTCACATCGAGAGGGACCTATAAAAGCTTAAAATAACTCTAAATGATCAAAATATCAAATGGACAGGTTCTGAAAGTCAAGTTGAAGAAAGATTTTGATCAGAAAACTGAATAATCTATCTCCAAAGGCATAATTGAAAAAATATGAATTAAAACATTCTCTGAGCATCCTTCTCATCTATTCTTTCACCCTCTTTAATTTTCTTAATTATAGAATTTGTATGACTTTCTAAATTTAAAGAATCACAATCAATACTAAGTTATTTCCGATTGAGGCACGTGTCAATTTAGGTCACGACACACACCAAGTTAACCACTTCCATTTAAGAATCATTAAAGTAGGAGGAACTGTCCGCATTTTATTGTATTTTATGCTATTTTATTTGACTTTAAAGTGTCTATTCAGTGGTTGCTATCTCCATGCTATTCTTGTTTTTGTTTGATTGGATTGACCTAAATTTGGCTGTAAAAGTTGGTTTTTTTTCTTATTAAAATGTATTCCATGGTCCATCCGTAGGGTATTGCCTGTCGTTGAAGAGCTTACAGTGAAAAATGAATGTTCCCCTTCTCTGCTCTTCACAGTTAAAATTTTTTGCAATAATACCATATTCTCCTTTTTGGATATATTGAAATTGCAGCTATTATTTCATCAGAGAGAGCTTTTAACAGTTTTACACAATGTATAACTTACCATACAGTATGGGTTTTGTTAATTTAAAAAAAATGAAAACAACACGTTATAAACTTGATGCGTCCGAAGCGCTTTTCTGGATTTACCTTCATCAGCAGGAACGCTCAAAGCCGAATATTTGAAAGTCAAGGGTGTACATGTATAATGGCCGAAAACGTTGCAGAGCTATAAACCAAAAAGGACCTAAAAATAGCCAAATCCATCTAAGGCCAACTCAGGTTGTTTGGTGTCCTATAGTTGTTGAACATCCTCGACTTGATCTTTTGGTGGATAGTTTTCTCATTGATAATACCCCTATTGAAATATTACAGTAATATACAAAATTTTCAAATGTTTTATCAAATAAAATGCATACAATGTAAAAAGAATTGACGCCATAATTTCCTTAACTTTGAAACTTACAGACATTAATAATTATTGGTGTTCCACTAGGTATTGGACTGGCTGTCGCCCTAACATGTAAGCTAACGTACAATGCATAAACCTCATAGTCAAGGTGTGGGAAGGAAATTTTATGTTAGATAACTAAACAGGACTGCATAAGTATTGTAAGCTAACGTACAATGCATAAACCTCATAGTCAAGGTGTGGGAAGGAAATTTTATGTTAGATAACTAAACAGGACTGCATAAGTATATAATGATATCTATTTTAAAATTTTTGTACAGCAGTTTGTCATTATAAAATTTTCGCGTCAATAAAACAGTTATTTTCTTGTCGGTTTTGTGCTTGAAATTTGAAAACGTTTACTTCAGAATTAGGTTGACCATAGATGATTGCATCATATGCCCAAAAAACCATAGGCTAGTAATTTATTATTTTCCTCTTTTTAGGTCGTCAGTTGTTTAAACTGTGTTATGTGCATGTTAGCAAGTTATAAAATAAGGGTTATAAAATGCTTACATCTTATATTGATATGAATGAATTGAGGATACAAATTATCACATATACCATTGTTTTTAATCTGTACAGTCACTTGCAATTTTTTGTATGGTAGTTTGCATGATTCTTTGTTTTCATAAAAACAAGCAATTACTCATAGATTTTACTTTGTAAAACGACCAATAAAGAAGATCGTCCGATATCTGTACAGTACTACATAAAGATAATCACAGTTCCAGTAAATAAACCATTTGAAATTAGACCATTCTTTATGCAGTTGTTTTGTATTCTTCCTGTACTAACATGTCTTATTTCAAATATTAAGTTACTTTCCATCATTTCGTATGATTAACAACGTATTTAGTATTTTTTTAAAGGATAGACAGAGAGACATCATAGAAAAGAAACAGTGGACTTGTTATTCTAACACTACTGATTGGAGCATGGGAGACTTACGAACGCCATTTTGTGTTGCTTTTATTCGTAGCATAAACAGCTATAACTAATATATGTAGACAATGCAGTTTCATATAGAACTTAAAAATTTATTATAAACATTGTAACATTGTCAAGTTTTAGTATAAAAATAAAACAGCAAAACTCTTTCTAAAGAACACAGAAAGCAGCACAGGAATGTCCTAATTTTTGCGGCAACATATAACAACAGAATGCTAACTTCACTATTTAATTGAATGCTGTTTTGTCCGAAATGTAGATTTCAAATGCTGCCTCCTGAGTCATTTTAATTTATGGTGAGGGGAGGTAAATAGACATTTCATATGGGATGTTTAAACATTACACAACACCAACATAAGTAAAGCTTTAAGCATCTACTAATGGAATACCTGTTGATATCTTTCAATTAACGTTATATATATATATACAGACTTGCTCGGAAAAGGTTTTGGATACGAAAGCTTAGGACAGTTTCCCCAGGGGGCATAAATGAAAAAAACATAGAATGTGTCACTCATTTCCCTACCATCACTTGTTTCCAGTAAATCAGGCTTCCGTTTTGGACTCTTACAGTTTTAAGAAATTTATTACTCCTCCCAAACATCAATATTGAAAAAAAATTACCAGCGTATTGATCATTGATAATTTGTATAGCATTAAAGATTTTTATTTCAGTTTGACTACCACATGTCAAGATAAGATTCATTTTACATCTTACTGATGAAGGATATTAGTATACGAAATATCTAAAATTTGTTCATGATTTAATTATTTTTTGGTGATGTTGTACCCTTTTAGACTTGTTATATATATTATATTTTGTAGTGTACTGTTTCATAATTTTATGATCCATCGCCCCGTAAGATTTATCGTTGGCTATTATTCAGTCATTTTATATATATATATATATATATATATATAGTTATATATATATATGATCCGTTCATCCTATTTCGACCCTTTCAAAATTCAAGAGTCTATCCTAAATTGAGGTAAATTATATGGCCTTCCAAATACCGTTTCGATTCCTAACATCACTGAAGAGACATTAATTGTCGAAATCCGGATATGGTGTACAAATTTTTGCACCTCATGTTTGCGATATACCATCTTTTCCGCAAGTTTATTGTTTTCTGTTTGGTAATAAATTATTATAAGATCCATTTTGTTACATCTGGTGATCCGTTTATTTGGCAATCGCCAATGGCAGTCAGCAGGGTTTAAGAACATCAGTTGTTCGACCTGCTAGTCAAATGCGTTTTGCTAAAATATACTTTTTCACTTTTTTGGTCTTTTGGAAAATGTTGTTTGTGCTGTATTTAGACCCCTCTACCAAGAAATTTGTTTTGCATGCACACGTATAAAAATTGCGGTTTTTATCCAACGCAATCATAGGTTTGAACGTTGTTTTCAATTTAGACTTGTATATATATATATATATATATATACAAGTCTAAATTGAAAGGTGTGAGTTCGAAACCCGTTGAGGGACAAAAATTTGTCAGCATAAAAGTCTTATTCTAACACTATTGGGTGTAATTTTCAGAATTTTTATACGTGTGCATGCAAAACAAATTTCTTGGTAGAGGGGTCTAAACATAGCACAAACAACATTTTCCAAAAGACCAAAAAAAAGAAAAAGTATATTTTAACAAAACGCATTTGACTAACAGGTCGAACAACTGATGTTCTTAAACCCTGCTGACTGCCGTTGGCGATTGCCAAAAAAAAGTATCACAAGATGTAACAAAATGGATCTTAAAAACTATTAATTTAATACCAAACAGAAAACAATAAGATTACGGAAAGGATGGTATACCGCAAATATGAGGTGCAAAAATTTGTACACCTTTATCGGATTTCGACAATTAATGTCTCTTCAGTGATGTTAGGAATCGAAACGGTATTTGGAAGGCCATTATAATTTACCTCAATTTAGGATAGACTCTTGAATTTTGAAGAGTCGAAATAGGATGAACGGATCATATAAACCCAAAGGCAAATATAATACAAGCCCAAACGAAAAAATATAAACAAGTCTAAATTGAAAACAACGTTCAAACCTATGATTGCGTATGATAAAAACCGCAATTTTTATACGTGTGCATGCAAAACAAATTTACAGCACAAACAACATTTTCCAAAAGACCAAAAAAGTGAAAAAGTATATTTTAACAAAACGCATTTGACTAACAGGTCGAACAACTGATGTTCTTAAACCCTGCTGACTGCCATTGGCGATTGCCAAATAAACGTATCACAAGATGTAACAAAATGGATCTTAAAAATTATTAATTTAATACCAAACAGAAAACAATAAACTTGCGGAAAGGATGGTATACCGCAAATATGAGGTGCAAAAATTTGTACACCATATCCGGATTTCGACAATTAATGTCTCTTCAGTGATGTTAGGAATCGAAACGGTATTTGGAAGGCCATTATAATTTACTTCAATTTAGGATAGACTCTTGAATTTTGAAGAGTCGAAATAGGATGAACGGATCATATAAACCCAAAGGCAAATATAATACAAGCCCAAACGAAAAAATATAAACAAGTCTAAATTGAAAACAACGTTCAAACCTATGATTGCGTATGATAAAAACCGCAATTTTTATACGTATACATGCAAAACAAATTTCTTGGTAGAGGGGTCTAAATATAGCACAAACAACATTTTCCAAAAGACCAAAAAAGTGAAAAAGTATATTTTAACAAAACGCATTTGACTAGCAGGTCAAACAACTGATGTTCTTAAATCCTGCTGACTGCCATTGGCGATTGCCAAATAAACGGATCACAAGATGTAACAAAATGGATCTTATTATTAATTTATTACCAAACAGAAAACAATAAACTTGCGGAAAAGATGGTATACCGCAAACATGAGGTGCAAAAATTTGTACATCATATCCGGATTTCGACAATTAATGTCTCTCCAGTGATGTTAGGAATCGAAACGGTATTTGGAAGGCCATATAATTTACCTCAATTTAGGATAGACTCTTTAATTTCGAAAGAGTCGAAATAGGATGAACGGATCATATAAACCCAAAGGCAAATATAATACAAGCCCAAACGAAAAAATATAAACAAGTCTGAATTGAAAACAACGTTCATATATATATATATATAGGAAGGAAAATGTTCCAGAGGAATCAATATATTGCATATAAAACCGGTGAAGCCTTTTGAGATATCATTGTCCGAAAAAAAACTAATCAACAGGAAAACAAGAATAATTTTACAATGGTCATTAAAACGGACGGACTGCATACATTATGTTGTCTAAAATGAAATCAAATGAAATCATAGACTGTATTTGCCTTGTTTATTGTTAGGTACGTGATAATTATAGATTTAAGCAATGATGTTATAAACGGTAACACAATTTAAAAGAAGAAATAAAAGATGAGGTAAGACAAATTTTATTTAAAGTCAGTTTTTACAACATAGTAAACACAAGAGCAATTATCCGACAAATTGATATAAACACACAACCTACAAAGCCGTGTAAAATTTAAGTAGCTACAATAATAAAATTACAGTAAAGTATAAAGTAGATATATAGCTATTCATCAATTTCAAGAGGGAAAGTTACATAAGTGTCAATGACATATCACAACAGTGAAAATGGCGTCAGAAATCCCCAAATCAGCGCGTAGAAGTCTCCATGATGAACCCGTAGCAGAGAAATAATGTTATTTCCAAAAATTTAATATTCCAAAGAGACAAGAAAATACTTTATGATTATTATAAATTCCCATCAGAATATTATAATGAGCTGTTAACTTTGGTTATTTCAGTTGGAGGGTAATAAATCAAAGATGTCCAGCCTTAAAGTAAAAATTGACATTCCAATTTCAGAAAGAATATTATATTCACATACATTTAAAGAAATCACAAAAAACTGTAGCATTTGAACTTCATTTTCGCTAGAATTGCAAATTGCAAATTAGGACGCCCCAAATTTATATAAATGTTTTTTTTTCCTTTTCTAAAATTGGTCGATACCACTGTTAGTTCCCGAAGCTATCATCAGCTCAGTATTCAGTTGTTCGGTACAGACATAATTTATAACAACCTTTTCCTAAACTCTCCGTTGATAAATTTAGAAATTTAGAAGAAACAAAGGTAAACTTCCTCAGGGAAAGTTGACCTAAGATGAATTTTGCTATACAGTTAGGGCACTTTTGTTATGCAGCTCCTCAAGTATTTTAGCATTTTATTTTACATATTCGGCATTGGTTTAGAGCGTTTTTGATAAAATAAACCCCAAAAAAAGCGCTTTGTACAAACCAAATTATAAAAAGTGTTATTTCAATTTTTTAAGAATAAAGCACATTTAATCCTTAAGTAGAAAGGAAGTTGAATTAAAACAGTTATTGCAATTTTCCTCGGGTTGAAGCTGTTTATAAATTCCTCTATGTGAAGTGTTTCTAGATTCAAATTACACATAACACTACATGGGCTATTCAATTCGATGGACAAAAACCTGAACAATGTTACTTAAATATCATCATTAGTGAATCCTCACTAGATTTTTGTTATCTATATAATTGTAAATGAAACTGGTGTCATTTAGTAACATGTGTTATACTATGCATATCCTGTGAATTTTGTCATCAATTTCATTGTTTGGTACCCATAAAAAATACACCCAAAAGAGCGTTTTTGATAAAATAAACCCAAAAAAAAGCGCTTTGTACAAACCAAATTATAAAAAGTGTTATTTCAATTTTTTAAGAATAAAGCACATTTAATCCTTAAGTAGAAAGGAAGTTGAATTAAAACAGTTATTGCAATTTTCCTCGTGTTGAAGCTGTTTATAAATTCCTCTATGTGAAGTGTTTCTAGATTCAAATTACACATAACACTACATGGGCTATTCAATTCGATGGACAAAAACCTGAACAATGTTACTTAAATATCATCATTAGTGAATCCTCACTAGATTTTTGTTATCTATATAATTGTAAATGAAACTGGTGTCATTTAGTAACATGTGTTATACTATGCATATCCTGTGAATTTTGTCATCAATTTCATTGTTTGGTACCCATAAAAAATACACCCAAAAGAGCGTTTTTGATAAAATAAACCCCAAAAAAAGCGCTTTGTACAAACCAAATTATAAAAAGTGTTATTTCAATTTTTTAAGAATAAAGCACATTTAATCCTTAAGTAGAAAGGAAGTTGAATTAAAACAGTTATTGCAATTTTCCTCGGGTTGAAGCTGTTTATAAATTCCTCTATGTGAAGTGTTTCTAGATTCAAATTACACATAATACTACATGGGCTATTCAATTCGATGGACAAAAACCTGAACAATGTTACTTAAATATCATCATTAGTGAATCCTCACTAGATTTTTGTTATCTATATAATTGTAAATGAAACTGGTGTCATTTAGTAACATGTGTTATACTATGCATATCCTGTGAATTTTGTCATCAATTTCATTGTTTGGTACCCATAAAAAATACACCCAAAAGTACAGAATTCATCAGAAAAATCAGCATTAGAATAATTACAAATAGGTAACAAAATCAAGTTAAAAAAACTATAAGCAATAACCAACATTGCAATATAAATAGAACATATATAATTTTTAGAGGAATCAAATCTGTCTAAAAATAATAATATTAATTTACTGTATTTGTACGTCTGATTCAATCTATATGTACGAATTATTTACTCTTGTTTTAACAACAATGTATGTTAAACGTTCTGTTTCGAAAAGCACAACAGATCTTTTTTCAAACTCATTGAAATGAATATGACATGATTATCGAGGTCACGCTAAATTTATAACAGACACATTTTAAGGTAAGATTCAATTTAAAAGTTAACCATTTTTTTTACTTTTAATTTATCACAATTGATTGTATCAGTGTCTGAAAAGTAAGAAGTAAATAAAAAAATATCCAAGAATTGATTGTTAAAAACGATTTATGAGGTTGTCCTAAAAATTACTCAAAAATTTCAAAGAATCTACTGTAAATAAAGCTTTGACAGGAAAGAGACAGTCTGAAAAAAGTCTTTCACTATACAATGAAACAAAGTATTGATATTTATCATGATAAGTAAGGAGCTGTGGAATGAGTGCCAACTAAACAACTATCCACAAAAGGACGACTATATATGTTCCACCCATCCAAAATATGTGTTTTATATCCTGAAGAGTAGCTAATGGTGGTTAAATTTTCATAAACTTGTTTCCAATATCCTCTTTTCAATTAATTCTAACTCTTTCTAAAATGTCAACCATATTTTTTCCAAAAAGTTCAATGCCAACATGTTCGACGAAACGCGCGTCTGGCGTATCAAATTATAAGCCTGCTACCTTTGATAACTATTTACACCACTGGGTCGATGTCACTGCTGGTGGACGTTTCGTCCCAGAGGGTATCACCAGCCCAGTAGTCAGCACTTCGGTGTTGACATGAATATCAATTATATGGTCATTCTTATAAATTTACTGTTTGCAAAAGTATGAATTATTCGAAATACTAAGGATTTTCTTATCCCAGGCATAGATCACCTTAGCCGTATTAAGCACAACTTTTTGTTTTGGAATTTTGGGTGCTCAATGCTCTTCAACTTTATACGTGTTTGGCTTTCTACCTATTTTGATCTGAGCGTCACTGATGAGTCTTATATAGACGAAACGCGCGTCTGGCGTATCAAATTATAAGCCTGGTACCTTTAATAACTATTTACACCACTGGGTCGATGCCACTACTGGTGGACGTTTCGTCCCCGAGAGTATCACCGGCCCAGTAGTCAGCACTTCGGTGTTGACATGAATATCAATTATATGGTCATTTTTATAAATTTACTGTTTGCAAAAGTATGAATTATTCGAAATACTAAGGATTTTCTTATCCCAGGCATAGATCACCTTAGCCGTATTTGGCACAACTTTTTGGAATTTTGGGTCCTCAATGCTCATTAATTTTATACGTGTTTGGCTTTCTAACTATTTTGATCTGAGCGTCACTGATGAGTCTTATGTAGACGAAACGCGCGTCTGGCGTATCAAATTATAAGCCTGGTACCTTTGATAACTATTGATGGGGACTGAAAATTTCTATTCATGTGATGCGTTGGCAATATTTTATTTTCGAATGTTGAAGAGTTATATTGGTTACCTTTAGCACCATTGAAGAATATCCCGAAAGGTAAAAACTCTAAGACATTTACATTTATCTTGTATCTTTATAGAGCGAAAAAGGATGCTTACAGATGCAGAGTATTACGAGCGACTTCGGCTTCTTTTAGAGAGAGTTGTTTTACCATTTTGTAAGAGATTACTCAATAATTACTTACAGTCACAATACCTGACGCTGTTTACATTTTTGGACAGAAACAAACATAGGATAATGCATTGTTTCCGCAATGATGCTTATTGCTGTTTTCAGAACAAATATAAATGTGTTTTAAATGAGACGCAGACACTGAATGAACGTGCATGGGGTCGTATCTTTATGGAAGTCAGGACCAAAAAGTGTATTAAGGATGGCTGTATTTGTCACGTGTTAACAAAGAGTCGACGAATGCCAAAATTAGACGTCGAAATTTTGACGTTTCTTATTCGCGAATTCAATATTATAGAATACAAAAAGTTTCCTGCTGTAAAGGAACTCGAAAAGTTCAGTGAATATTTCCACGAATTAGAAAATACAAGAGTAAGAAAAGACGAGTACCTAAGAATTTGGAATACGGTTACAAATAGTTTATTAGTTCTTGGTTTAGAGTCAACAGCAATAGATGAAGTAAAAAGGACAATTCCATCACCTGTCCCAGTAAAACAAGTTAGTGTTCAACATTTATTAAGATTGTATCATTCTTAAAGTTCAGTATTCACACGATGAAGTCTTTGAATATCCCACTCAGGAGTACTGAAACATACCGCCTTCGTTGTCTGTGTCGTTATAAGGAAAAAGCCGGAGACATAGGAGCTAACCAATCGACGTGAACAATCTTTCCATGGAATTTTGTTTCCATTTCGAAATCTAAATCCCGATGGGAGTGATTCTAAAAGAAAAAAGAAGAACACTTTATAATCAATGAAAAGGATATTCGATCATATAATAATGGGAGGGGAGGGGATAAAAATCATGTTGTTCACTGCGGCTTTCCATAGATTAAAGTACCTGTTGGAAAATAGAATTTAAAAAAAGCGCAGTACCCGACTATTATTGTATGGAATAACAGGTGATATATTATTCCTCAGATATTATAGGTATTTAAAAAAAACATTTTGAAATATAACACGTGCAACAGCATTAACTTTATTTCTATTGTTACCAGCATTAACTTTTTCTACAAAATTTTCCTATTTTCGTATCTTCTAAATAATTTCTATTTTTCCATTTAGATTTCATAAAGTATATTAAAGTTAATAAAGTCTTAATTTTTATTTACAGGATAGTATAATTGGACCTCTTTGTAGAGTTTTAATGATGGGATGTGTGGTATCCTTAATGAGAAAAATCAGTGAATGCATACAAAAATATATACCTTGACATTTCTTGCTATTAAAATGGTACATTAAAACAGTTGCAAAAGTTCCAAAGGTCTTCCAAAAAGCAATACTAGTTGCTTAAATAAGCACATAATTGAAAACTTTCAAGTTGAAGAATTTATAATTAATTATGACCCTTGACGATTTATAATTCCTTAATTTATCTAAAGATATTGATAATATTGGGAATTCCAATAGGTGGAGCAGTAGGATTGGCAATAGCTCTGTCATGGTGAGTATTTGTTTGACATACCGTAGGATTGGCAATAGCTTTGTCATGGTGAGTGTCTGTTTGACATACAGTAGGATTGGCAATAGCTCTGTCATGATGAGTATCTGTTTGACATACAGTAGAATTGGTATTAGCTCTGTCATCGTGAGTATCTGTTTGACATACAATAGGATTGGCAATAGCTCTGTCATGGTGAATATCTGTTTGACATACATAAGAATTGGCAATACTCTGTCATGGTGAGTATCTGTTTGACATACAGTAGGATTGGCAGTAGGTCTGTCATAATGAGTATCTGTTTGACATACAGTAGACTTGGCAATAGCTCTGTAATGGTGAGTATCTGTCTGACATACAGTAGGATTGGCAATAGCTTTGTCATGGTGAGTTTCTGTTTGACATACAGTATGATTGGTTATAGCTCTGTCATAGTGAGTATTTGTTTGACATACAATAGAATTGGCAATATCTCTGTCATGGTATTTGTTTGACATACAGTAGTATTGTCAATAGCTCTGTCATGGTGAGTATCTGATTGACATACAATATGATTGGCAATAGCTCTGTCATGGTGAGTATCTGTTTGACATACAGTAGGATTGGCAATAGCTCTGTCATGGTGAGTATTTGTTTGACATACAGTAGGATTGCCAATAGCTCTGTCATGGTGAGTATCTGTTTGACATACAATAGGGTTGGCAATAGCTCTGTCATGGTGAGTATCTGTTTGACATACAATAGGATTGGCTATAGCTCTGTCATGGTGAGTATCTGTTTGTCATACAGTAGAATTGGCAATAGCTCTGTCATGGTGAGTATCTGTTTGACATACAATAGGATTGGCTATAACTCTGTCATGGTGAGTATCTGTTTGACATACAGTAGAATAAGCAATTGCTCTGTCATGGTGAGTATCTGTTTGACATAGAATAGGATTGGCAATAGCTCTGTCATAGTGAGTATCTGTTTGACATACAATAGGATTCGCAATAGCTCTGTCATAGTGAGTATCTGTTTGACATAGTTCTAAGTATACATAAATAAGGAAACCAGATAACACTAGACACTCCTGCCACTGACTGTCTAAAATGCCGATCCAGATTTCGACGATAACAATTGAATATTGTGCTTTGTTCATAAGATTACATTATTGATGTGCAGAATGGAAAAAAATGTTATCAGAGAAATTAAAGCATGCAAAAAGGAGGGGGTCGGATTTCGAGTGGTGTTCACGGTTTGGGCCTGGTTTTCTATATATAATTTGTGGATATCAACGTATTTAAACTTGGAAGCTTTCAGAGAATTAACATTCACTGTTATTTTCAAATTGTGTAGCTCGTAATGCATACATCTAAATTGTTTAATGTCATAAACCGAAAGGGCCAAAACTGTATACGGTCACATTTGCCTACCGGATTTGCACCCATAGTAGAAATAAGTCTGACAATAAGACCGTTGATGATAAGTCTGCAATTTTCCTTTGATTCACGAACTTCCTTTACAACCGAAAGTTGTTTTACATGACATTAAGTCTCTTTTGTTTTGCTTTCTGCTATCGAGATTTCGAAGCCAGCATCACACAAATCATTATAAATTTTATACCTAATCCATTGGAGTAATTGTCATTTTAGTCTGGATTGACAAGGATTATTCTTTTTCGGGAAATTGGGCTTTGACTAGACTTTAATAACAGCAAGGTGCTTTTAGATTGATACTTTGCGTCTTTCCTTTGTCTTTTTATTGTTTGTTTTGCTTTGGTTCCAATCTGATGAGTGAAGCAGATTTTCTAAGCTTGTTCTTAGGTGTTTTGTAATAATATAAATCCATGACGTTGTTTTTCTCTTTTAAAATTGTTTCACATTTTATCATACCGTGACCTTTTATAGCGTACTATATGGTTTCTTTTGCTCATTGTTGACAACTGTAATGTGACCTGTAACTGTTCACATCTTTTTCTCATTAGCAATTATACCAGATTTTCTTAAAATTTACATTAACATTCATTGAAGCAGCAGATGATTTTTTTTTCAGCAAAGGAAAAAAACATCATACTGAATATAACGATACTGTATGATATAAAATAAAACAATTGTTAAATTGAAGATAGTCAAGATGTAATTCATAGTTTTGTTCTCTTAACTTTAGAATATTATTTTTTATTTCAGATGCTGTAGGTTATTTGTGCTACTAACTTTATAACAAATTGGTGCTGATTTCGTAGTGAATTGTTTGTAAAGAAAACAAGATCTAAAGCGTATCAGAAAATACAAATAAAAAGCTTAGTTGGAGTGATTAAAATCTACGTCCGTCTTTATACACTAGTATTCTTTATTCTAAATTTAATCAAGATGCTTGATTTTTATTGACAATTTAGGGAATGTTTTTTTCAACAGACACTATGTTATAAATAAATGATGACATCCCATAGAACTATTCAACATTGACTATGTTGATCGCAACTATTTCATTGAACTAATTGAAATAAAGAATACCTCAGATACAATTAAGCCTTTCTCATATCTTTGTTTACATTTAATAATTGATAGTATTCTTCGGTTGACACATATACAATTTAAGACAAAGACGATTTCAATTATATGAACTTTCCATGTCTCTGTAGCAATCTAATAGCCGAGCCTGCATATGGAATATATATCCCTCGGTTGAGACAATATTACATGACTTATGTTTTCTTGAGCTGCTTACAATGATGCTAGTGCACCAAGTGTTCTAATAGTAAAGTTGAAGTAATTTACAGTCGCCATCATGATTTAATTGCTATGAATGACCGCGGATTTCCCCCTCACGTTGTAACAATAATCCCGTCCTTATTTATTCGATTTTTACACCATAGAATGCGACATGTCACCGTATTGTTCCTTGCTCTGAACAACACGACGGGTGCTATAAGTGGAGTATGAACTGCTCACCCCCGGGTCACTAGACTTTACACCTAAAGTGGTTCATACCACTTTTATTCTAGTTTTCATTGTTGTGTTTTTGGTATTTTGCTTTTCAACGTCTTTGTTATTTCTACCGGTAAAATTCTTGTCTATGCTTTGTTTTGAAAAACTGTGCTTTTGTATCAAACCTCAAAAGTGGTTAAGTTTTAGGGTAAGTAAATTCAATTGACTGATGGTTTATTAATAAAGTGAAGTCAAAGATTACACAATTACCTTTACTAATCGGCTATAATTGTCTAATATCAGTCGCCAATGTATTTCAACAAGAGTTACACGTCAAATAAGACTTATGAAGCTGGAATTGTGACCCTTCGTTTACTTGCGGTATTCGTGTTGCTCTGTCTTTAGTTTTTGTAAAGTGTTTTGTTTTAAATGTTGTTGGTTTTTCGTTGTTTTTCTTAAAAAGAGGCAAATAATACCAAGGGGACATTCAAAACTCACAAGTCGAAGAGTAACTGTCAACAACATGGCAAAAACGAAAGAAGACGAAAACACAAACAACTCCACAAAACACTACATTAAAAGCTAAAGAATGAGCATTATGAACCGCAATAGAAACAAGGGGGTCATCACAGGTACTCTGGACAGGGTAAGCGAATCCTGCTCAAATATTTGCACCCGTCATGTTGCTCATTGTAAGTACAAATTCGGTGATCAGTCTCATTCTGTGATATCATAATCGGGAAAAAGGGACGATGATTGAAATATATCCGTGGTCATCTTTGAAACAGGTATTCCATAACGGTCAACCAACTCGTAAACTGTCGTAAGGGTTACTTCCACTTTACCAATTTGAACCCTGGGTTAAATATATCTTTCATGTAAGTAGCAACCCTCTATCAAGGAAATCATTATTGAAAACGCAAGCATCAACTGAAAGATATAAACTCTATATGTATGCGTTGCTGGAATGTTGCTACATAGAAATTGAAAGTTCACAATTGGGAAGCTGAAATGATCTCTTTTGTCGTAAAGTTTTGGTGTTTCGGTTGTTTTTGTTCTACTTATGGTTTATGAAATATTTTAAATATGTACATTCTCCTATTGTATGCAAGATAAAAAGTAAAATAACAAAAACATCGAACTCCAAGGAAAATTCAAAACGTAAAGTCCTGTATCAAATGGCAAAATCAAAAGCTCAAATACATGAAACGAATGGAAAACAACTGTCATATTCCTGACTTGGTACAGGAATATCCTTATGTAGAAAATGGTGGCTTAAACCTGATTTTATAGCTAGCTAAACCTCTCACTTGTATGAGAGTCATATACAATTCTATTATATTGACACCAATGTTACTCAGACACTGGTGACGTTTTATAAAGTCTGAGTAACAGCTGCAAGCTCTTGAATACCGAATGAGTTGGGAAATGTATATACCATATGCGTGCGAAGTAAGTATATTTAAGGTAGGGGAATTTTATAATTTCAAAATTAAAATTGGCTCGTTTGTCATAGATTCTGATACTAAGATGACCACTTATGTCAAATCAATGTTTTGTGTAGTTAAGGTTTTTCTCTGACTACTAATGACGTCTTTACACTGAATCTGCTGGAGGTGTATGATCGACATATTAAATTAAAACCAATGAAATCTTGCAAAGATTGTTACACAAGTGGGCGGATTGTCTCCAAAAGATAGATTCGTTCCGAAGATGTCATTATCCATTTCCTCTGTCCGCATTAGTACTTCCCATCGTGACACCAATGCATACAATGCTAACTGGCTGTATATTTCTATTCTAATAAGCCCGCCTGCAAAAAAGTACCGTTATGACTGAGTTATAACATTCAAAAGCAGTTTACCAGATTTAGACTGTCTTGCTAACTGTCGCGATTGCCTGAAACAACAACTGTGCATTAAAAATTAAGAACAAAGTCTTATTATAGTGTATTTTGAATCTGCAGTGGTGAAGCTAGCAAAGGCATTTTTACATTGATGCCGTGACTGGAAATTATATAACCGTTTCCCTAATGGAACTTTCGTCATTTATTTCAACAATAGAAAATAAGAACTAGTTGCAATTTTAATTGGATAATTTCCGACTCATGTGTTGTCAAAAAAAAAAAACAACGATTGCCCACTATAGGTTATGTAACTTTTCATTTAAATGTACTATAAATAAATCTCTTAAAGCTGTTTCTTTTGATTTTCAGCGTTTTCCAAAGAATTAAAAAAAAAAAAATTTCTAATCAGCAACTGACACATTTCACACTTTTATTAACTTCTGTCTGATGCAACCGCATATATATATGACCAGCTCAAATCGGCCAGTGCTGTTCATTGGGGATTGTATTTCTACGCAGTCTTTGTTTTAATGTCTTAACCTTCGTCACCTGTAAAATTTTAGAAATGTACCAGTTCATATCGCACATTACAATGTTTGTTAGTAGCATATCTATGCAGTCTCTGTTGTAAATACCTAACCTACGTCATTTTTTATATTTTAGAATTGTACAAGCGTTGTTGTGTTCGGTTTTAATTGTATAAATTTCAAGATTGTTATAATTAAATCAGAATAGATTGATATGATTCATTTTACATCATAATCATACGGATGAAGGATATCTGTTATCCGAAATATTTATAGATAATTACATTTAATGTTTCCTTTTTTTAATATTGGTGTTGTTTTGTACATTTTTTAGGCGTTTATATAAAAAAAAAGTAAAACAACAAAAATACCGATCTCCAAGGAAAATGCAAAACGGAAAGTCCCTTAACAATAATAAATAATTTATTTATTGTGTACATGTATCGTTACTCGTAACGATCCAGCGCCTCGTAAGAAAGATCGTTGACTAATATCTAGACGTTTTATGTATATGTAAATATATATATATCAATATATCCTTTTTTATTTTCAACGCTCATATGGTCTGTTTTGTTGTGTAAATTAATAAAAGAAAATTTAGGTGAACAACAATGAGACATAAATCCAAAAACACAAGGAAGAATTAACCGATTGTTTGGATATTAATGAAAAAATACCAAATAAATCAATGTCAAAACAAGTTAAAAAAAATTATGATCACATCGTAAAAAATAACACTTCTTTGAAAAAGCTAGTAAAAAGAGATGTTAGTAAGACATCCTTGTCCTTTGGTCTCTGATAGCTAGTTGTCTCATTGGCGACCACACTGATGATTTGACTGTGAACTATATCAGTTCTACAACAAAACTACTATAAATATTGATATCTCGTGTATCCAAGAGAGTTTGAATAAAACGATACTGCTCTTTACAGCTTGACCTTTTCTGACTAAAGAAGCAGATGAAAACTTTTTTTGATAATCATGATAATTATATTTTTGAATATCACGATAATTATATGGTTTCCTATTCTATTTAGTTTATTAGTTATATCAAACTCTTCTTATAGGTTAGACAATACCTGGTCATGTCAGCTAATACGATATCCTTGAGAATTTTCTCATTGTGACGATTTTATGAAGATAAACTCAGATATTTTCTGGTTTTGTTGACGTTTATCAGTGACGTTTAGCCAATATCTCATTCAATTCATTTCAATCGAGAATACAAGGAAGATAAACTAGTCATCACTTTAAACTACAGTTCTAGATTTGACTAGATTCGACTGAATGGTTGATCATTTCAGGGTTCCACTTTAGTAGAGAAACGGCATGACTATGTAAAAAATACTACACGCCCTCTATCGCCTATCTGATATTGTCAACAGTTTTGTCATTTTCTTTGATGTGACAAAGGCTAAGAACTGTATATGAAATAAACTTTGCATTGAAGGTAGTGCTGGCATATTAGGTGACGCCTTCCATGTCGATACATCTTGTCTACTCTTACTCTTATAGCGGGACCGAAAGTTGAAATGGCTTTTGTATATACTGTAATTTATATACTGAAGATAATTAGTTCTTATCCTTTTTCTTTGATTTTTATAAATTTGGTGTTGTTAACACACATGTTTATCGGTATAATAGAGACATTAACTAAATGTATCGATTAAAAGGGCAATGCCATTTTAACATTACACTGGTACGTACTAAATTTCCTTTATTCAAAGTGCATAAAATGAAAAAAAAAAAAAAAAACAATCAAAACAATGAATATTTACTTATAATTACATTACATGTATGTTTCATTATAATACGTTATTTTGATTGGCTAACAGCAATCTCGCGTCATTCTGAAATTAACCTTCATTTCAAAATGAAATGTAATATTCATGATGACACGAGCTTCCACAATAAAGTGCACAGGTAAATAAAAGAAAAACTTGACAGAAATCTGTTTTGTTGTTCATGATCCTAGCAAAAAAATGTAACTATAAGTATTAAATGCTTCTTTTGGTAATTTTATAAGGGTTGTAAAAGCGTTGACGCGCACATTTTTAGAATGAAATACAAAATGTACTTCGGTCAACGCTTTTATACCCCAATAAATTTACAAAAAGAAGCATTCAATTCTTAAATGTGGATCGCTTGGTAAGTGAATCACAAATCTAAACGAACTGAAGAAGGCCAAACTATTTTTAATATCATGTCACGTGGTATTCTTTTTAAG